GATTATACTAATCTTTGACTTTCAAAACAGTCATGACAGTAATTGCAACATTTATTGCTTAAAAGGGGGTCAGAAGAGTTTGATGTTTTAACCTTTAGAATTTGCCTTAACTCAGGCCTTGATGAACTATTAGTCCATGTGAAGGTGAAGCAGTAATTTGCTATGTGACTCAGGCCCTGAGAAATGAGGAAAACACACTTTTTTATTTTTGATAAAATTGATGACTTTCTTTAGATCATTAGCTTCATTCTCTATGAGATGAATTTCTCTCCTCTTCTTCTTAACTTCTAAGAACCTCCTGCCTTACCCATTCTCTCTTTATAATACAGTCACATACAATATCAAAATTATGGGACATAGCAAAAGCAGTGCCAAGAATTAAGTTTATAGCAATGAATGCCTACTTAAAGAAATCAGCTTCAAATATATAACCTGATGATGCATCCTAGTAAAGCAAGAGGACAATAAACCCACCCAAAATTAATAGAAGTAAAGAAATAACAAAGATCAGAGTAGATATAAATGAAGTAGGGGTTTACAAATTCCAAAAAGGTCAATGAAAAATTTTAATGATAAAATCAACAAACACTTAGCCAGACTAAGAATAAAGAGAGAAGATATGAACAAATCAAATCATAGATGAAAAACATACATAACAATTTATATCACAAAATAGAAAGCTCATTATAAAAAAGCATAAGATGATTAAGGGAAAACGCAATGGTTAAATTTCTGAACACATATTACCTAACCAGATTGAACTATGAGCCATGAAATCCACAAACAGACCAATAATTGGCAGTGAGACTGAAGTAATAAATATTTCCCAACAAATTAAAGTTCAGGATAGAATCACTTGACTATGGAATTCTATCAAACTCTACAGAAGAAATAACCACCTGGCTTTTTTTTTTTTTTGATCAAACAATTGATAGAGAGGGTACTCTGTTTAAAACTCATTCTAGAAGACCAACATCATACTGGTTAAAATGGGGGTCACAAAATTTGATTTTTATTCTTTAGAATTTGTCCGAACCCAGGACACAATGAACTCTTTTTTTCAGAGCACACAGAAATTAACTCTTTTCTGACTCACAGAGATATGAAGTCCAAACCAACCAGACTCTAATTGCTGAGAGAAACATACAGGCTTATTTAAATTAAAGAACATTTGATTGGTCTCTTTGCACCATGAATTTTATTTTATTGAGATGAGTGTGTTTCAACTTTCCTCCTACAGAGGATTTGCCTGAACTTTTCTCTTTTTATAGGAAAAAAGAATCACAAAACAAATCAAAAGTTATGGGATAATGAAAGTGTAACACTAAGGAGGATTAGCAATAATTGCCTGCATCAAAAGATTAAAGAATCAAACAAATAACCTAGAGATGCATTTCAAGGATGTAGTAAAGAGAACTAAAACTAATAGAATAAATAAAATAACAAATATCAGATCTTAAAAAGATGAAATAAGAAAACTCAATGAAACAAAATTTTTGAAAAGATGGACAAACTCAACAAATCTTTAGCTTGATTAAGGAAAAAAGAAAGGAAAAAAATAAGTAAAATCATAAATAATACAAGACATTACAACTGATACTACAAAAGTAAAATAGAATATTAGAAAATTTTMGAGAGACTATGTCTTAAAATAGGGGAAACTTAGAAGAAATAGATAAGTTTATGGACACAGAAACTACACAAATTGACATATATGAAGGCATAAAAACACAAACATACTCCAATTGATAGTGAAATTGAACCTGTAATCAAATATTTCTCAACAAATAAAGGTCCAAGATAGAATGGCTTCATTGCTAAGTTCTACTAAACTCACAGAACTAACAACATTGTGTTTAGTAAAAAGTTCCAAACAATTGTAAGAGAGGAAACTCAAACTTATTCTTCAAGTTCAGCATCATTTTGGTACAAAAACCATAGAAGAACACAGCAAATAATTACAAATAATATTTGTAATATATAGGAAAAATTATTAAACAATACTAGCAAATAAAATCCAACACTATATCCAAAAGATCATTCACCATGATGAAGATGGATTTTTTTCAAGGGATGCATAGATGGCTTCACATTCAATAAATGTAATACATCACATCAAAACAATGAAGGATAAATGTATTTCATAAAATTCAACAYCACTGCATGATAAAAACTCTGAACAGGGGCTGTGGCTGTGGCTCAGTGGTAGAGCACTTGCCTGGCATGTGTGAGGCACTGGGTTTGATTCTCAGCACCACATGTAAATGAATAAAATAAGGTCTATCAACAACTTAAACAAAACAAATAAAACAAAGAACCCTGAACAAAATCGCTATTGAAAGATTGTACTTTAACATAATTAAGGTGATGTATGGAAAAAACACAGTCAACATGAAAATAAATGGGGAAAACCATAAAGCATTTCCCCTAAATCTAGAGCAAGACAAAGGAATCCACTCTCACTGCTCTTATTAAATATAGAAGTAGAAGTTTTAGCCAGAGGACTAAACTAGAGATAGGAATAAAAGCTGTAAATAGGAAAGAGAGACTTCAAATTTTCCATGTTTGCAGATCATATGAATCTAAAAATAGAAAAATGTAAAGACTCCTCCAAAAAGCGACTAGAATTGATTAAAAAATTTCCAGGATACAATATCAATATTAAGTCAGTAGATTTTTTCTATACTAATAATATAAGTTATGAGAAAAAAAAATCATGAAAGGAATCCCATTCATAAAACCTACAACAAAAATTAAATATCTAGGAAAGAATTTAACCAAAGAAGTGAAAGATCTGTACATCTTTACAAAACATTGAATAAAGAAATTAAAGACCACACACCTGCGTGCACACACACACATGCAAAAATGTAAAGACCCCTGTCTCATTTTCATGCACTGGAAAAATTAGTACTGTTCGAAGGGTTATAAAATTCAAATAAATTTACAGATCAAATACAATACTCATGAAAAGACCAATGGAATTCTTTGTGTGAATGGAAAAAAGAAATTTATAAGGAAGAATTTATAAGGAAGCATAAAAAAAACCAAAAAGCCAATATCATCTTGAACAAAAAGAAAAAAACTGAAGGCACCTGATTCCTAGTTTCCAGACACACGATAGAGGCAGAGTGAGCACACTAGCATGGTGCTGGCATAAAAACAGACACATTGACTGATGGAAAAACATAAAGGCCCCAGAAGTGAACTCATGCATCTGTGGAAAATGGTTCTTAAAAAAAAAAAAGCCAAAATCATATATTGGAGAAGGTCACCCTTTTTAATACAATTGTGATAATTATAAAACCACATGCAAAGGATTGAAAGTTGACTCTGTCTTTCATCTGCACAGAATCAACTTTGTGTCAAAGACATAAAAGTAAGGCAGGAAGCTCTAAAACTGCTGGAAGAAGATATAGGGGAAATTTTGCATGAAATTGATAAAGGGATTTTTCTTTTTTGCATAGGATCCCAAAGCACAGAAAACAAAAGCAAAACTGCACAAATATATTACATAAAATTAAAATGATCCTACATAGTAGAGTAAATAAACAATAGAGTGAAGAGTCAGCCTATAGGTTGGGATAAAATATTTGCCATCTAGGATCTTTAGAGGGAGAACACCTCACAATCAAAGGATAACAAGGGATATCACTTCGCTGAACATATGTAGCCAGAGGAAATGATTATTAGCATACTAAAGAAATGCCTGCATGTTAGTGTTTATTGTGGCACTATTCACAATAGCTAGGATGAACCAATTTAGGTAGCCATAAACAAGTGAGTGGATAGAGACAATGTGGTATATGTACACAATGGGATACTACTCATCGTTAAAGAAGAGTGAAATTCCATGATTACAGCAAAATGGATGGAACCGCAAGCCATTATTTTAAGTGAAATAAGCCAGACACAGAAAAACAAGTTCCATGATATATTGAATCTAAAAAAGGGTTAATATGAATTTACAGTAGTGATTACTAAAGGCTGGGTTATAGTGGGAAGGAATAAGAGCAATAAAGGGAAGTTGGATTTAATGAGATATTACCGCAACCAGGCTAATATGTAGAATTAATRCATGTTAAAATTTATAAACAGAATTTAAACAGACACAGAACTAATTTCAGAGATCCACTGGCCTAGTACCTTAATTTATGATTAGTAAGAGGGTATTGGTGACATAGCAAGGTGAAATATCACCAAAGATTCAGTACAAAATCTTTTTTTTTTATTTTAAGAATCCATTTAAATTCCAGTTTTRATCCCTGTGAGGTGTGTGAATGAAGGTCTCCCACGTTCACAGAGTCTCTATTTCCTCATTTGTCAAAAAAAAATCTCTGCCCTGTGCTCCCCAGGATTTAGGGGCTTGGGGTGTTAAATAGCAAATGCTATGTACATTTACTTAGTTACATGATGATGTATGTTTGGTATTTCAAAATGTTTAAGTTGTATTACCTAGCTTATGCTTAGGCACTTGTGATGTTAGTTCAGCATTTAAAAATACTAAAAAGACTTGATTTTCAAAGCCAAATTATCTTATTGTTTGATGAAATATTTCATGTTCAATATTTTTATATAGAAGTCAGAGATACCCTTATTTCCCCCAAGTCATGAATTTCTAAACAGTCAATTAGTCTGAGAATCCAGCATGTTGAGCAGTGTTTTGTATTGAATACTCTTTTCTTAATTGCAGCGGCACATTGGAACCACCAGGCACTGTGTGATTGTGTGTTTATTTTCTTGCCTGTTTTTAAAATGCCTATTCCTCTAATCTGTTCCAGAGTGGCAGAACTAGGCTGTCATAGATAGAAGTTTTGAAAGAAGACAAGAGTAAACAGTTTGTTTCAACCCATATCAGGTGACCAGTGTACACTTAGAGGGAATTAGAGCTTACCTAATTCATTGGCTCAGCACTTTATGTCAATAGAACACTTGSTGATTAATAGGGAGCACTATAAAAACTTTACTTTGATTGTAAACTCACAGCTGTCTCAGTAAAAGGACAAGGCTTCAATGGATCCAGTTGTAGCCTTGGTGCTGTGTCTCTCCTGTTTGCTTCTCCTGTCATTATGGAGACAGAGATCTGGGAGAGGGAAACTCCCACCAGGACCCATGCCTCTCCCAATTCTTGGGAATATCCTGCAGATAGATACTAAAAACATCAGCAAATCCTTAACCGATGTAAGTATGTTGAGGCTTCTCCAGTGGCTTGTAAAGGATAAATAAATTAATCCTTAATTTTTAATTAAATAAATGCACAAGGCAAATTATTAAAAGAGATTGTTGTGCAGAAAATACTCTCTTTGGGTATTAATGTTTCCATTGTTTTTATATTTTTCACTGATAGAGTCAGTGTAATGAAACAATGCATCAGGGTTAAAAGAAATGCTTACATTTAATATTTGGAAGGCACTATTAATGTCAAAAGTCTGAAGAACCCTTGCCCTTCATTGTTTCATAGTCATTTGCTGTGATTTTCTATTTTCTGCACATTTTAATTTGTTCATGATGCTTTTGAGTGAATTTTTATTCATTTAAGTGTGTCTCTCATTTCCAGGAGTTCTGACTAGCTTCTTTTCAATATCTCTATTTCTTTATTGAAATGGTCTTTCAACCCCTTAGTTTTCTCTCTTAATTCATTCCTTAGGTCTTCCTCTAGTTTACTGAACATTTTAATAATCAGTTTTGTATCATTATTCTCTAGAATTTCACACACTTTCTTATCTGTGGAACCCTTTGGAGGGGGATTGTAAATTTGGGAAGAAGATATTTTGTCTGTTTCATCAAGTTGTCAGAGGTTTTGGACTTGCACTTCAATGGAGATGGCTTCCCCTTTCTCTTTTATACATATATCCTTTTTAAAAATTAATCTAATTTTAGTTTTTACACAAATAGAGCCCAACTTTTCATTTCTCTGGGTGTACGAAATGGAATGTTACCCAGCCTTAAAGAAGAATAAAATTATGGCATTTATGGGTAAATAGAGTTGGAGAATATCATGCTAAGTGAAGTAAGCCAATCCCAGAATAACCAAAGGCCAAATGTTTTCTCTGATAAGTGGATGCTGATCCATAATGGCGGGGGCAGGCAAGAGAAGAAGGGAGGAACTTTGGACTGAGCAGATGGGAGGGAGAGGAAGGGAGGGTGTTTGTATGTGGCGGGGAAGATTGTGGAATGAGATGGACATTATCACTTATGTCCTTTTGGGTGTAGTTATCTCCTTTGTTTTGGGACCTCTCTCTGTTTTTGATATATGAGTAGGTCCAGGGGTGTGACCTGAGCTTGCTGTCTGGTTGATCCTCCTGGAGGCCTGGTTGTAGGTTTGACGTTTCGTTTCCTTAATTCTATATGTTGAAGTAATGTTGAGGCTGAACACGTAATGTGGGGCTAGAACACGTGTGGGGTGAGATTCTTTGTTACTCAGCTGAGTTGTGTGTGTGGCTTGGGAGCAGGATGTCTACTCTGTGAAGCTGAAGTGACCCACTCACTTTCTGATCCCACTTAGAGGAGGCGGTGAGCCAGGAGCAGCACTATTGTTATCAACAGATGTACAGCCTTGAGACAAATGTCCAGCACCTATTTTGACATTGGTAAAACTAATCACCACCTATAGAGAAATGATGGGATCAAAAATAAAAAGAAAAAAATGTGAATGAGATCACTATTACACAGCAGAGGTCTACTACTTTGTCAGTTGTGTTAATAATCMTAACAACATGAATGAGGGACAAATGGCATAAAACGTATAATTATATACTTAATGAAATTACATTTTCTCATGTGAAGAGAAAATAGGATAGAGAGGGAGGAGAATGTTTAAAATGTTTTCAAGAGTGAAGGCAGGAGAGGCAGAAGATAGATCACAAATGTAGACTCTAAAGAAAGAGAAATAAAAAATTAACTGTAAGTTGTTTACAAATGAAAGAGGAAGAGGAACAGGAAAAYTTGAGTGTTATTGGGAGAAAAGAGCGAAGAAGGGCCATCAAGAGGGCTAAAAACCAAGGTACAGCAAACAAGCAAATGTGAGAGCAAAACAATTCAAAACCATGGATGCATACATCCCTCCTGTGTGAAACCAGTGGTCAATAATAAATAAGGGCAGGTGAAAGCAAACTGATATGAATATATACAAATATTGAACCTATTCTTGCAGTGAGTGCACACACATGCACACACAAACACACAGAAATCTTGCACAATGGAAAGAAGTAAAAAATAATAAAATACAATAAAATGATTGTGGGCTCAGTTGGTCCAGCCATAGCTCATCAAAGAGCTGAGGAAGGTGTGGCTGTGGAGTCAAGGAGAGACCCCTGGGGAACAGTTTCAGAGAACTTGATCCACTTTATTATTGCATAGGCAAACTTTTGTGCATAGCCTGTTCCTGGGGGAATGAGGGTCATTGAGGGTCATAATGATCCAGTAAGCTAGCAGTGCTTACACGCGGTGACTAACGGGCTAATAGGTCATTGGCAGAGAAGCAGAAGGAAAAGGACATGCTGTGCACATGAGGGCACCTGAGGGAGGCCAGGTTTCCATGGTGATGGGGCTGAGTGTGGTTAGTGTGCTAATCACAACTTCCCGATTCAGTGTGCTGAACCCTGAGAGTCCCTCACATAGGCAACATAGGTCGCTTTCCAACTCATGGGCCCAACAAATGATATTTGAAAAAAAAATTAAAGTTTTTTATTTGTTATTTTAAATACACCTGAGAGTAGAGTGTATTTGGACTAGGATCCCATTCTTGAGGTTGTACTTTATGTAGAGCTACATGGGTAGTGTATTCGTTTATGAGCGAAGGAAAGTTATGTCTGGTTCATTCTACTCTCCTTTCTATTCCCATCCATCCTCCCTTCCCTTCATTCCCCTTTGTCCAATCCATCGAACTTCTATACTTCCCCTCTTTACCCTTTCTTGTTGTGGGTTAGCATCCACATATCAGAGAGAACATTCGGCCTTTGTGAAATATCACATAGCATGATATTTTTTAGTTCCATCCATTTACTGGCAAATGCCACAATGCCATTTTTCTTTATGACTGAGTAATATTTGAATCATTGTGTATATAAACCACAGTTTGTTTACTCAGTGATCTGTTGAAGGACACCTAGGTTGGTTCCATAGGTTGACTATTGTGAGTTGAGCTGCTCTACATATTGATATGGCTGCATCACTGTAGTATGCTGATTTTAAATGCTTTGGGGATAAACTGAGGAGTGTGATAACTGAGTTAAATGGTGGTTCCATTCCAGGTTTTCTAAAGAAAACTGCTTTCCAGAGTGGATGCACCAATTTGTAGTAACACCAGCAATGTAAGAGTGAACCTTTTCCTCCACATCCTCACCAACATTTATTGTTACTTGTATTTTAATTATTTGCCAATCTGACTGGAGAGAAATGGAATATCAGTATAGTTTTAATATGCTTTGTAACCCAGGGGTCAAGTATCAGGAGCTACTCTGGAAATACATGCCCTTAAGTCCTAAGTAAGAGATACCAAACAATTATTGCTTCCTGCAATAACTTGAGCTTTATGTCCGTTCAGATAATGAGGCCTGGCCCTAGGAGTAGGTATTACCCGGTGGGTGGGGTTGAGTTACACTTACCTATTCCTTTGTAATCCTACCCCTTACCCTTTTTTGGATAGAATGTTCTAAGAAACAGTGTCCCCCAAGAAAAGCCAGCTCCAGAATAGCGCTCTCTCTCTCTCTCTTTCTCTCTCTCTCTCTCTCTCTCTCTCTTCAGCCTCTCGTGACTTTCTCTTGCCCCTCTGTGGGACCCTGAGGCCAGGAGCTGGGTAAGCCATCCTGAAGCTTATAAAAAGGTATTCCGTGTCTGCATGGTATTTTGTGTCACCCCAACTTCACATGAGTGACTTTGGTACAGTTGCTCTCACTGGACACTGGACAAGGGCATCAGAGTCAAGGTTTGGGCATTGTTAACCCAAACATCTTTGCATTCCTCACTTATCCAACTGCCAGACAATGTGGCTAGGAGCTCATTTGTGGTAGTAGTAGCTCTCAGCGTCCATTCTTCTAGCGTAGGGTAGGATCCACTGAGAAGTGCTGACAAATTGTAAATTCCTGTAGCGGAAGTGGTGCTACTTACCCCAACATGGAATGAACCTGGAGAACTTTATGAGGAAGGAAGTAGCCACACAGAAAGACCTTCACTACATGATTTCACTTACATGTGGAGTCTCAGAAAACAAAGCATACACCTCAAACTCAGAGTAAGAGTAGAATGGTGGTGACTGGGGGCTGGGATGTGAGAGAAAAGGCGAGATGTTTGTTCAAGGGTACAAATGATACTGCCGGTGACCAGTTCTGCTCCCCCATATGTTGAAGTAYAACATTAGGAGCAAGCACATAAAGCAGGGTTTATTTAAAAAGAAGTAACATAGACTTCTTCTGCGAGGGAGAAGGGGGCCATAGCTGGTATCCTGGTATCCCAAGAAATGAGCATGTTCTGCCTTTTTATTCATTCTGAATTTCCTTTGTTCTCTGGCTCTCTTCCCCTTATCTCTCCTTCTTGTGTATGTGACTAGGCTGGGGAGATGCTCAGTGGGATGGCCAAAAGGTGAGAAGTAGATGTACAGGGAAGGACTGGATGGAGCAGCCCAGGACACATTAATTAACAACTCTATGACTCCCTATAGGGAGTGGAAGTTCTTGGGAGAGGTTACCCTAGCAACAGATTGGAGCAGAGGCAGGTTATCTTTGACAGGGTGTTGGAAAGACTCTGAAGGCATTTCAATCTCTCAGGGGAGGGTCTCCAACCTCCTGGACTCACTCAAATTGGTCTCCTTGATCTGACCTGTTTAAACTGACTGCCTGTCTAAATCTGGCTTCACAAACCTTCAGTTACTATGTGAATAAGCACTGGAGACCTAAGGCTTATTCACATAGTGGTGACTATAGTAAATAATAATGCATTTTACACCTGAAGTTTACTAATGTGTTTTCATCACACACATATGAAAATGTTAACACTTAGGCGATGCATATATTAATTAACTTGGCTGTGGTAATCAATTTGCAAGGTCTATATAAATCAAAATACCACATTTTACACTCTAAATATACATACCTTTTATTTTTCAATGGTACCCCAATAAGGCCATTAATAAAAAGAAAACCATGGGTTGAGAAATAGCATAAGGGAAAGAAGGAATGAATTAAGCAATCATGGTCCACTGGATGGCAACAGAATCCTTGTGCATTTTGCACAAAGCTGCAGTCTGTACTCTATGAATTGCTGCTGGGTGAGAGAAATTGCTATGCTGGATGGCCTGATGCTGCCTCCCTGGTACTCACGCTCTTGCTGTGTTAGTGATACCTGTAGCCTCAACCTATGAGTGTTAAGATCATCTGGGGGCACTTTTAAAAATATAGACTTCCAATACATAGTTATCATGGGCTTACTCAATCAAAATCTCTATAATACAAGCACTGCTAATGACCCAGAAGAAATCAGCTGCATTTTGGTGCCAAAGTGGATAAGCAATGGTGACTGACGAATTGTTCAAACTTCAGAAATTGAACAAGATTCAAATTTGAGTCTTAAGTTTATTAGTTATGGTGCACTGCAAATGTCTGACTTCATTTCCTTTCATGTAAAATAGGACACATAATTTCCCTAAATGCATTGATGTGAAGATTAGTTATAGTGTAGATATCAATTGTCTGAGTCAGGCATGGCAGATCATAGACCATCCATAATGACAGCCATAGTTGACATCACATTTGTGAGCAAAATTCAGAAATATTTGAAGATTCTTGTGGCACAATAAAGTATAACAAATATGGCACAATAAAGTATAACAAATATAAGAATAATCTGTAACAGTCTGAATCATTCCAAACATATAGTTCAAATGCTGATCTTCCTCAGCTAATGTTTGCATTTTCTTTCCTATTTCTAGTTGTCAAAAGCCTATGGCCCTGTGTTCACTGTGTATTTGGGTTTGAGACCCACTGTGGTGTTGCATGGCTATGAAGCTGTGAAGGAAGCCCTGATTGATCATGGGGAAGTATTTTCTGGAAGAGGCAGTTTCCCTGTGGGTGATAGAGTTACTAAAGGATTTGGTAAGTGGGCATGCATGTGAGGTGGCTGAGCAATGGTCATGGGGAGGAGAAGAATGAAAAAGAGAAAGTCAGATTGAGCTTAACCATCTCTGTGGCTCACTCATCAACTTTCTGTACGTTGGCTGGGATATCCTCCTAGATTCTGCTCTCCCTCATTTAGGAATCATTTTTAGTACTGGAAGCAGATGGAAAGTGATGAGGCGCTTCTCACTCATGACCCTGAGGAATTTTGGGATGGGGAAGAGGAGCATTGAGGACCGAGTTCAAGAGGAAGCCCGCTGCCTTATGGAGGAGTTGAGGAAAACTGAGTGTGAGTGATTCATTATATCATCGTCCTTAACAGACTGCTCTTTTCTGTGTCTAGTGAATGCATTTCAGCAACAGCCAGATCTTTAGTTATGGRTCCTTTTAGTCCTTATATGGAGGAGGTATAATTCAAAGCAGAGAGCCAGAGTTTGTGTATCTGTGCTGCCCAATCACAGGCATGACTGGGTATGCATGGTGGGCGTAAAAGATAATATAATCCTATGCTGACAAGTTTTATTTCTGTTTTCAAATCATTGCATCATGAAGACACAAGGTGTAGAGTTCCTTTTTCTTCAAGAGTTAAAGAGCAGGGTTTCCCCGTGGCACATTTGTGAGTTTCCCACTCCACGGCCTTCACCATTGTCTATTGGACACCATGGAAATATCCACCTTAGACTCTGCAGAGCTGAAGCAAGTGATGTGTACTTTCACTTAATTGGACTGTGGTTGTCCAGTCACTTTTGTTATCTGTCTTCTCTCAGGGTTTCTTCCCAGGACAGTACCTAGTAACTATACTAATCTATGGTTTTTCATTGATTTGCATATCTCCTGGAAAGTGTCAAATATTCTTATGGGAATCACTTATCTCTACTGACCCAAGATGTTTTTTTCAGTGTCTTTGATTTTCATCTTGCATCCAGATTGCTCTGTTTTTAAACTTGTCTTCCAAATTAACAAAAAAAAAAAAAAAAAGGAAAGACTAAGAATCAGACATTACCAATGAATGACACACACCTAGAAACTCCCTGGCTTCCCTAATTACCCTCTAACTCCATAGATAATGGAAACATTTGTTATGAAAGCTTAGAACTCTAGAATATTTACAGAGCCTGGTGGAGGAGAAGATAACTCGAAAGCTTTGCTTTTACCCAATGCTCTATGCTTTCTTTGCATCAGTTTTTCATTTGTTTATTTCTAAATTATCCTATTGTATTTTTTACTGACATTTAATCAGTCCATATTAATGAGGTYCCTATGGTACTCATACACAAGCGTACAGCATGTACAGTTAAAAGCCATCCTCTCCATCTCTCTATCCTCCTCACTGCCAGCGCACTTGCAGTAATCGCAATTTTACCTTCAGGTTCACATTCATTTTAGCTTCCACACATGAGAGAGACCTTGCAATACTTTACTGTTTCTGACCTCTTACTTACCATAAGGTCCCCAGTTCTGTCTCTCTTGCATTAAAAAGACAAGATTTAATTCTTCTTTATGACCGAATATAAATACATTTGTTTATGTAACAGAGCATCTTTATCCACTATTCTGTGGATAAGCACATAATTTAATATGATATCTYAATTATTATGAAAAGTGTCATAGTTATCCTCCTGAACATTGCAGGAATCTATGTTGTATATTGATTTCATTTCTTTTATCTGGGTATCAGAAGCAGGACACCTGAATCATATGGAAGATGTCTTTATGTTTTGAGAAAATTGCATCCTGTTTTCCTTAGCCTGAGTGTCCTAWTGTACATTCCCACCAAGAGGCATAGGGTGTCCTTCTTCTGCATAACTCTCCAAAATTTGTTATTTGTTGTTGTTGGTGGTGGTAATTTGGGTTTCCTATTTTTGTTTTTGTGTTTTGACAACAGCCATTCTAATTGTGACAAAATAATTCCTTATGGTAGTTTTGATTTACATTTGCCTAATGGTTCATTAAAATGGCATTTAAAAATATATTTATTGCTCAGTTTTATTTCTTCTTTTGAGAAGTGCCTATTAAGATCATTTGCCCATTTTTAACTGTGTTACTTAGGATTTGTTGTTTTTTGTTCCTTAGGTATTGTAGATTTTAATCCTTTTTGACACAAATAAGTGGCAAATATTATCTCTCATTCTGTAGACTATCATCTCTTCACTCTATTGACTGTTGTGTAYGAGCTTTTCATTTTGAAGTAATCTACTTGCCTGTTTTTGCTTTTAGGGCCATATAGAAAAAAATCATCACTTGTATCCATCTTGAGGTGTTTCCCCTGTGTTTTCTTCTAGTTCGTTTAGAGTTTCAGTTCTTACAGGAAGGTCTCTGAGCCATTTTGAGTTGAATTTTGTTCAGGTGAGAAATAAGGGTCAAGTTGGAATCTTCTTCATGCTCCATTTATTGAAGAGGCTCTTTTTTCTCCACCATAAGTTTTGGAATTTTGTTGAGAATCAGTGGACTGTGCATGCTTGGTTCCCCGCTACTACATCCCCCATCGCCCCAAGATCTCCATTCTCTCCCATTGTTCTTTTTGCCTGTTTCTGTGCCAGTACCATGCTCTTTTGCTTACTGTGGCTCTGTAGTTTGGCTTGAAATCARGAATCCTCCTGCCTCCAGCTTTTCCCCTTTGCTCAACATTGTCTTGACTATTTAGATTTTTCTTTTTGTACTTCTGCATGGATTTTAGGTATTTTTTTCTAGTTCTGTGAAGAATATCTTTGATATTATCTCATGGGAATTGAATTAAGCCTGCAWATTGATTTGGATAGCATGATCCTTTTAACAATGTTAATCTTCCAGTTTCTGAGCATGGGAGGCATCTTCATTTTTTGGTATCATCTTCAATTACTTTCATCAGTGTTTTGTAATTATCATTGTAGATGTCTTTTGCTTCCTGGGTTAATTTTTTTTTATCAAGTAAATTAATTAAATCTAAAATTTACCTGTTTTTTTGGATACTTTTAGTTGTAGATGCACACAATAACTTTATTTAATTTACTTCTATGTATTGCTGAGGATCGAACCCAGTGCCTCACATGTGCTAGGCAAGTGYTCTTACTCAGCCCCAACCCCATCCCTAAAACTTACCTGTTTTATCAAGTAAACTGTAACTAAAAATATAGTTGTGAGTTTGGATACTTTTTTCTTAACAAATGATATGTACTGATCACCTAATTGTCATTTCATTTTTATAGATTCCTAAAAAAATGAAAATCTTGTCATATGTTAATTTCTTTTCCTATAAAATTGCAGCATTGACTAAAGTGATGTCCAGCATTCAAATTTACTAAAATATATTATGCTGGTGGCTATATGATTCAGAGAAATGTTCCAGAAGTTCACAGGGGGGCAGTATTGCCAAATAGATTAAATTTTGAGGCATTTAAAGATGATGGGCTATATTTCCTAAAGTGGCAAATTTTCTTTTAGTGTTTCTCTCTTACGCTCTCTCTAATGAAGAAATAAACAGATTACATTTATAAATTTAACCTTTGTGTCACCTTGAATTTACTTTAAAATAAAAATTTCTCACCTTTATTGAGAAATTGTTTATGTATGTTTGCCTTTCTTCTTCTTAAAATATGAAGGTTTTCTGCTTATATCCATTTTTTTCCCACAAATATACAAATTTGTACAGTTACTATCTATTAGTCTTTAACTCTGCAGTTTTTACACATGAATCTTTCAGTGATATAAAATCAATGTCCCTAACTTCTTTTCCTTTTTGTATAATTCCTAATTATCTACGGGTTTGATGAAAAATATGATTCTGCACTGAAATTGAATAAACAAGTGTTTTTAAGTGATCTTTTAAAATGTTTTCCAAAATAAGTGTCACTTTGGSTTAGGATGGCTTAAAAAGGCAGTGGAATTGATTGGAGCATTAGGAAAACCATTATTAAACTGGCTACCAGGTAAAAGTCAATTSGAGTTTAAGGTAAAAGTGAATGATTTTTAGCATGGTGAATATTTTTCATATCAAAGGAATTCATAGATATGGCTTAGCTTTTTTACATTTACCTTTCCCTGTTATTTCAAAGAGAAATACATTTGTATGTATACTTTAATATTRATTTTTAATGTTTCCACTTCTTCAGCCTCACCCTGTGATCCTACTTTTCTCCTGGGCTGTGCTCCCTGCAATGTGATCTGCTCCATTATTTTCAATAATCGCTTTAATTATAAAGATCAGCATTTTCTAAAGTTTATGAGGAAAGTAGATGAAAATGTGCAGATTCTGAGTTCCCCATGGATCCAGGTAAGACAAAATCCCACCTCCTTTTCTTGAGAAATTATATGATCTTTATTCTGACAAGTTAAAATTTCTAGTGCTCCAAGCAGTAAAGTGAGTCTAGATACAACAGTCTGACCCAGAGTATCAGGAAAAYATGTCTGAGTCTTTTACTTTATACACAGGAAAATAAATGCCCACATGTAGAGATGACAGGCAAGCCCACTGGCTCTCTGGCCAGTTTGTTTCCCAGTATCCCCCAAAGCCTAATCTTTATAAAGGACTTTGGTAACTGCATTTGAGCAAGATTAAGGTTATCAGGCCCCAGTGGAGGACTCATCAGTCACAAGGGCTGCACTCCAATCACCACTTAGAAATTTCATCACTTTAATTGGCAGAAATAYAGTTATCTGATATTTGACAAAGTTTTCAAAAAACATATRTTGGAGAAAAAAAAWTGCCTTTTTAACAAATGGTGTCAGGGAAACTAGCAATCTATATGTGGAATGAAATTGAATCCCTATYGCTTACCTTGCACAAAACTCAACTCAAAGTGGATCAAAGACCTAGGAATTAGACCAGAAAATGCACCTGCTAGAAGAAAATGTTGGCTCACACTTCAACATGTTAGTTCAGGAACTGACTTCATTAACAAGACTCCTAAAGTGCAAATAAGAAAATAAAAATCTTTGCCATCTGCTCTTTAGATAGGGCATCAATATCCAGGATATACAAAGAACTTATAAAAATTAACACCAAAATACCAAATAACCCAATCAAYAAATGGGCAAAGGAACTAAACAGACACTTCTGAAAGAAAGAAATATGAATGGTCAACAAATATATGGAAAAATGTTTAACATCCCTAGCATTTAGAGAAAGGCAAATTTAAACTACACTGAGATTTCATCTCATTGCGGGCAGAATGGCAATGATCAAGAATACAAATAACAATAAATGTTGGTGAGGATGTGGGGGAAATGTATATTCACACATCGTTGATGGGACTGGAAATTGGTGCAATTACTCTGGAAAGCAGWATAGAGATTACTCAGAAAACTATGAATGGAACAACCATTTGACCCAATTATCTCACTCCTCAATATATATGTCCAAAGGATTTTAAATCAGCGYATTACAGTGATGCAGCCACTTCAATGTTTATTACAGCACAATTCACAATAGCTAATCTGTGGAGACAACCCAGGTGCCCTTAAACAGATTCATGATTAAAGAAAATGTGGTGTATATACACAGTGGAACATTACTCAACATAAAGGAGAATGTCGTTATGACACTTTCTGGGTAAATGAATGGATCTGGAGAATATCAAAGTAAGTGAAATAAGCCATCCCACAAAACCAAAGGATAAATGTTTTCTCTGATATACAGAGGCTAATCCAAAATAAGGAGAGGAAGATAAAAAAGAGAATAGAAGATCAGTGGAGTAGACAAAAGAGAATGAAAGGAAGGGAGGATGGAAGGGAGAGTGAAAGATGATGAGATGAATCTTCCTAACATTCCTACAAATGCAATATAAATATACCACAGTGAATCTCACCGTCATGTACACATACAAGACACTGATCTAAAAGAAAGTATACGTAAACAGTAGAAAGATCAGAATAGTAGAGGAAAGGGAACAGTGGGGGAGGAAGTGAGGAGTAGAAGTGCTGGGGATGGAATTAGAATAAATTTTATTCCACTCTTTTATAAGTATGTCAAAATGAATACTAATGTCATGTTTAACTAAAAAGAACTGATAAAAAATCAATCCCAGACACACACACACTCACACACACACACACACACACGCACACACACACGCACACACACAAAATACCTTCATTTAAGGATATTAATGAGGGCGAATAGGAGCATAAATGCTGTAAGGAAACTGAACTGGGTAGAGATTTTTTTATTCTTTTTTTTTTGTCAGCTTTTTCACACCAGTGACCAAAAGCCCTGAAAAGAACAATTTAGAGAT